AAGTCAAAACTTGTGTATATGCGCCGCCGGCTAAACTAGGGTTTCATAAACAAGATCGGAGTACCTTGCATGTCTGTAGATGTACACGACGCCGGAGAAAAATGGGTTTGCGAGACGACGCCGGTGAAACAGAAGCGGTAGTGTGTTCGCGGTAGAGTGTGGAACTAGTGTTCCATGTTTCCTTACAGTAAGATGAGAGAGAAATGGAATATGAGAATAAAGGGGAAATGAGGGAGATAGATATGCCGGTGAAACAGAAGCGGTAATGTTATCGAGAGTGTGGAACTAGGGTGTCATGTCTCCGCCACAGAGGATGAGAGAGAAATGGAATTTGAGGAAAGAGGGGAAATGAGACAGAGATAGATCGATAGGGTATCGTATTAGGTGGTCTGGTTTGATTTGGTTTAGTGTAAAAATCGGTTCGGTTTGGTTTAGTTCAATATAAGGACATTTATGTCTTTAAGACATAAGAAAGGTACTCTCAAGTGAGATGTGGCTTAACTTGAAATAGGAAAGTTAGAATGTGTGCTGGAGTGTAAAAAATACTTTTTAAAACATACAAAAATCATTTTATTAAATTTTTAATAATTTGTTCATGTTTCAAAATAATGGGCCTTAAATATGGGCTTTCAGCCCATCATAGGTACAATGGACACCACACGTATATATTATTTAATCAATATCTGTCTCTTGGTGGTGATGAGTAGGTAAAAAGCTGAGTGTGCTTTAAAAACCTGCTCCTCTCACAGTTCGTGTGTGTGTGTGTGACCCTAATTTGCTCTCCGCAGACATTTCGCTATACACTCAGAACAATGGCGGCTGCGACTTCATCCATCGCTCCATCCCTCTCATGCCCATCTCCATCCTCTTCCTCCAAAACCCTTAGGTCATCTAAAGTCTCAACCTTTGCTTTCCCCAACATCGGTTCCCTCTCGTCTGCTTCCAAGTCTCTGAGGTCGCTCACTGCTACCGTCGCTGGAAATGGTAAGGGATCTTCCCTCTCCGCGAGGATGGTTGCGTCGTCTGCGGTTAGAGCCCCTATGTCTCTTGATTTCGAGACCTCTGTGTTCAAAAAGGAGAAAGTCTCTCTTGCTGGTCACGAAGAGGTTCTTATTCTGTAAAAATGTCATCTTTTGGGCGCATGTATAACGTTTTTGATTGTTGCTAATGTTTGTGCTTTTTGGTTATCTTTGTTTAGTACATTGTGAGAGGTGGAAGGGACTTGTTCAAACATCTTCCTGATGCTTTCAAGGGGATTAAGCAGATTGGTGTCATTGGCTGGGGATCTCAGGTATAACTGTATATTGTTTTTGTTTTCCTTAAGCGACATGTTTTATGGTTTGGTACTTTTTTTTTTTTTTGAACGATTTTTATGGTTTGGTACTTAAGAAGCAAATAAAGCTAACAACTTTGGGAAGGGGTTTGTTTTGTTCACTCATATCTTATTGACTTCGTTTTTTCCAATGAGCTTGAAAGCGAAACTCACCTATGAATGTTGTTTACTTTGGATTGTGTATCTTGATTACATTATGTTAATTAGAAGTGTTTTGCCTTTTATGTGTTTTTTTGGTATAATTTGTGTTTGAACGAAGAAGGTGAATTTTTTTTTCATGTTCTTTCTTTTCTCTATCTATTTTCAGGGACCTGCTCAAGCCCAGAATTTAAGGGATTCGCTTGTGGAAGCAAAGTCTGACATTGTTGTTAAGGTAAAATCCCAACTGAAGTATTGATTTTTTCATACTTTTATAAATGAGATTTATCTCTTTCCTTTTTCCTGTTATTGACCATACCTTGACTTGGTTTCTTTATGTAGATTGGGCTTAGAAAGGGCTCTAAATCTTTTGAGGAGGCACGTGCTGTTGGCTTCACCGAAGAGAGTGGTACTTTGGGTGATATATGGGAAACTATCTCTGGCAGTGATCTTGTGTTGCTTTTGATCTCTGATGCTGCTCAGGTATGTGTACATTTGATAATCTTCATTATTTTGAAATTTGCTCCTTGGGTATATAGACATTTGATTTTAATGTATCTTGTTTGTTTTTGCAGGCTGACAACTATGAGAAAATATTCTCCCACATGAAGCCAAACAGCATTCTCGGTTTGTCACACGGGTTTCTACTGGGGCATTTACAGTCCATGGGACTTGATTTCCCAAAGAACATCAGCGTGGTAGCTGTGTGCCCTAAGGGAATGGGTCCATCTGTGAGAAGGCTTTATGTCCAAGGCAAAGAAATCAACGGTGCTGGAATCAACGCCAGTTTTGCAGTCCACCAGGTTTCCTATCTCTTTCTCTGTAGCTAGTATAACCTCATTTGTTTTCATTTCTTTTCCTTATTGATGTGATTTTCTGTTTGCAGGATGTTGATGGTAGAGCCGCTGATATTGCTCTGGGATGGTCAGTAGCACTTGGTTCTCCTTTTACTTTTGCTACTACTCTTGAGCAAGAGTACAAGAGTGACATCTTTGGAGAAAGAGGTGAGTTGGGGATTCAGTTTATAAACTGTCTATCTGTAGCTAAATCATTTCTTAAGACCTTTTTCTTTTTGTTAATAGGTATCTTGCTTGGTGCTGTTCACGGAATTGTGGAGTCTCTCTTCAGAAGGTACACCGAGAATGGAATGAGTGAAGATTTGGCTTACAAGAACACAGTAGAGTGCATCACAGGAACAATCTCAAGGACTATCTCTACTCAGGTTAGTGGAAAGATAACTGTAGAGAGACCAGTGTCATTCGTTATTTGAAACATGTTTCTGATGAGTTTGTGGAATTCAGGGAATGTTGGCTGTGTACAACTCTTTGTCTGAAGAAGGCAAAAAGGACTTCGAGACTGCATACAGTGCATCCTTCTATCCATGTATGGAGATTCTATACGAATGCTACGAGGATGTAGCAGCTGGCAGCGAAATCAGGAGTGTTGTCTTAGCTGGTCGTCGCTTCTACGTAAAGGCTCCTCTTTCATACTCTTTTTTTTTTACATTTACACAGAACACGGTGTGTTGTGTAGAAAGTTAGATGGATCTTTCTTGCTTGTAACAGGATAAAGAGGGCTTACCTGCATTCCCAATGGGGAAGATTGATCAAACAAGAATGTGGAAGGTCGGTGAACGCGTCAGGAAGTCCAGACCAGCTGGTGACTTGGGTCCCTTGTATCCCTTCACCGCTGGAGTTTACGTCGCCCTTATGATGGCTCAGGTACATGTCTTTTTGTTTAATTCGGTTTACAGTTATGCAGTGATTCTAATTATTGGCTCTTGCAATCTTACGTAGATCGAGATCTTGAGGAAGAAGGGTCACTCCTACTCAGAGATCATCAACGAGAGTGTGATTGAGTCTGTTGATTCTCTTAACCCGTTTATGCATGCTAGAGGAGTGTCTTTCATGGTGGACAACTGTTCAACCACAGCAAGGTTGGGATCGAGGAAATGGGCACCACGGTTTGACTACAACCTGACCCAACAAGCTCTTGTAGCTGTGGACAATGGTGCACCAATCAACAAAGACTTAATCAGCAACTTCTTTGCCGATCCAGTCCATGGTGCTATCGAGGTCTGTGCGCAGCTGAGGCCTACGGTGGATATCTCAGTGCCTGAAGATGCAGATTTTGTTCGACCAGAGCTGCGTCAGTCCAACTGAGTGAAGGGTTTGAAATGTTATCTGTTTCTTTCTGTGTAATCGTGTTTTGAAGAAAGACGAGGGTTATGGAAGTGTTAGGCGTGAGTGGATGTTTTGTTTGCACGACTTGAATAATGATGTCTCTTTGTCTCTTTCGTATTCCATTAATGGAATTCTCTTATGTTATCTACTTTTTTAAAAATCTTGTCAAAGAGTTTCTGGAGAACAAAATTACATTTTGGGTAGAACATTCTAGCAAGATCTGTGATGTTTAATGGGGAGAGGAGCAACAAGAAAATACCAACCTCTAGGATTATATAAAGAGGAAGAAAAAGTGAAGGAATAGGTGTTTCCTAGTCAACAAGTTACTAGAAGACTGTTACGCATTTCATCTTACAACACTTGATTCTTCTTACTGTTTCCATAATCTTCAGCCTTAACAAAAACGTAAATTGATCCAAGATCCCTTTTTTCAATTAAATTTCCGACTGTATTATCCTACATTCCTATTGAAATATGCTCTGGCTGTATTAATCTGAGGATAATGCTTCACACAAAGTCATCAAGTGCCTTGTAAATATTAGTGCTGGAAGTAGCCTGCTGTTCTCTGGACTGACTTGTTCCTTCGTCATCAGTAGCTACAATCACAAACTCTCAAGATGCTGCAAAACACGAGCACAACAACTTAAAACCATGACTGTAGGATTTACACAAGGCTCTTTAGACAGCAGTACAATGTTGAGAGTTTTGTAGCAGCTGAAAGCAAGCCTACCCTTAGAAGTAACTAGGGAAATCCATCATCCCATACTCAAGCGCTGCACATACAGAGAATATTCAAACAATTATTACTACAAAGGGGATAAATCAAAAAATTATGTAACGCAAAGAGAGATACATCAAATCTACAGAGGTCAAGGTTGAGATTAATAAGTTGAGAATGACGAGCCAAGCAAAAAAAAAAAAACAAAAGAAACGAGACTTGATGTATCACAAAATCCATTTCATATCATTCCATTTTGTTTGTTTCCTCGGTGCCATTCGTTAGCAGTATCTAAAGCATTCTCTTTTCAGACATAGATACCCTTATCTCCTAACATTCAAAGTAATATATATGTAAGGATGAAGGCAACTCTGTTCATGCTTATAGAGTTTAAACAAAAAACTTCTTGTCGTCACACTTAAATAGAATAGCAATTCAGGAAACCATCTCTGCGTGGTCACTAATCAAAGCAACCAAAATGCTAAAACTACACCAGCAAACAGAAAAAAGATTCAAACTTTCTAGCTCATCAACAAGCTGCCTTGCTAATTACTCATCTCATTGTCAATCCTTATAAGAATGCTTCCACTCTCAATCTAACACACAACAGAAACAACGGAGAAGGGTTTCACGTCTCACCGGTGGTAGCAGCGGAAGAAGCCGGACCATTAGAACCAGAGCTACGCCTAAGCTTGTGAAGACGAACCTGCATCTCAGTAAACAGCTGCATCCTATGACACTCCAACTCCTTAGCAAACCTCATCCTCTGCTTCTCCAACTCAACCATCTCCTTCCTCTTCCTCTCCTCCACCTTCTCATATATCTTCCCAAACCTCTCAATCGCCTCCGCTACTTCCTTGTATCCCTTCTTCCTCTCCTCAATCTCAATCTCAACCTCCCTCTCTCGCCGCTTCCTGCTATTACCTCCGCTCGATCTAGACCTCGACCCGTCAGAATCATCCTCATACCCCGGAGACGCAGCTGCCGCCGCCGCCGCCGCGAACGCGTTCAGATTCCCGCGGAATCCGAGCAAATTCTCCCCGCCGAGAGACATCATCGCCGGACGTCTGGAGATCGCCGATCGTGGAGCGACGGGAACCGTTACAATCGGCAGCGACGGAATCCTCTGGCTGTTATCACTAGACGCCGCCGCCGCCGCCGTCGGGAACGTTTCCCGGAGAAGCTCGTCGAGATCGGAGAAGAAGGGCCACGCGCTGACGTAGGAATCCGAAACCCTAGCCTTCTCGACCTTGTACTTCTTCTTCAGCGTGTCAATCCGGTTCTTACACTGGACGTCGGTGCGGTAAGGCTGCGATTTCGCCGCGGAGACGTTGCGGCCGGTGTTGAAGTGACGGTCGTTGACGGCGTTAGCAACCTCCTGCCAGTGTTTCTGACGGAGGCCGCCTCGGCTTTGGTCGACGAAGCGGCGGCCCCAGGCGTGGATCAGCGTGAAGGTCGCCTCCTCGCTCCAGTAGTCTTCTCGGGAGAGCGTCGACGGGGAAGGACGGGAAGATCCCGGGGAGAAGGAGTCGTTGACGGCGTCCTTCATACCGTTTGCGACGGGGAGTTAGTGAGGATTGGGGAAACGGAAGGTGGACGGTGACGGTAACGGAGGATTTTTTAAAAACAAACGAGTGTGTGTTTTTGCTTTGTGTGCATGAATGGACTAAGCCGTGAGTAAGCTAAACGAGTCAGCCCATAGCTAACTTATTTATACTGTATTGCTAATTTAAATTGTATATTCTTAATTATTACTATTTGTCTAAAAATGTGAATGTTGATTATTCAATAAAATATAGTGTGAAAATTGATACTGTCAGTTTTTTTTCCTAGGCATAGTGTAAGATTAATTTGGTTATATTTGTGATTTGTGCACAAAAAATTATATTTGTGATTAGGCATTTGGGTACGGATCGGTTCTTTCATATATCGGGGTTTTTAGGTTTTAAATTCAAGACTCATTCAGACATTATAAATTTACGGGTCGAGTTCGAGTCGGTCTTCCCAAGTCCTAGTAGGTTCGGGTCTGATGCAAAGGATCCTGAAAATAACCAATATATCTGAAACGGATTCAGTTATTTGTACCCAAAGTAACCATATTACCCGATATGATTCGGATATTTTGTATCCAAACTACCTATTTTACTTCTATATAACCAAAAATACTCGTTAGACACAATTTTATTTATGTATTTTATATCAAAAATATCATATTTTATCCAAAAATATTCAAAACTACCAAAACAACTAACATATTTAATTTATAATTTTAAATTTAAATTATTAGAATAATTATAAGTATAATTATAAATAATATTTTTCAAATATATATTTACATTTTAGATATTTCGGATACTCATTCAATTCTCGGTTCGGGTCAGGTTCGATACCAATTTTTCAGATATAGCAATTTAGGACCATTCAGTTATTTACCCCGGGTCCGATCGGGCTCGGGATCCTGACTTTCGAGTCGGTTCTTCGGGTCCGGATATTTTACCCAACCCTTTTTTTGTCAGCAATATTTTCCCCAGCTCTATTTGTTATTTTAGCAGTAGTTAATATTTTCATATTTTTACTTAATATAGTTATAGTATATGGTTTTTAGTGTTTATATCTAATTCTAATTAGTACTTTTGTTTTTGTTATAACTTGAAACTTAAATTTAAAATTTTTGTGAATGTTGACTACTAAAGTAGACATTCATTTTACTAATTTGGTAATATTTCTGATTTGGGCTATGGTTAATAATTTCCTATTTATTTATGAAATTATAATATATGGTTTTAATGGTAAGAAATGAATTGGTATCGACCTTAAATAATATGTATATATGGTTTATTATCCCAGAGTGAAAAATATTCTGAAACGGAAGGTGAAAGTCAAAGGTTATTAACTAATTTATCAGATATGATTAGTTGAATGTTTGGTAGTCATTTTCTTTTAATAGTCTCACACCATGCAATGCTAGTGATGCCAAGTAAAAGCTAGTCAAACTAAATCATTTTTGCTAAGACATTTATGCACTGCCATATTAAAAAATATCATGATGTATGGGATATAATTGAATTTGGTAACACAGAATGCGATTAGAAACTTAGAACTGTCTTAACTTTTCACTAATTTGCAAGTTAGAATTATCTTAACATCAAAATATATAAAAATAAATTGACTAGAATTATCTTAATATCAAAATATATAAAAATAAACTTATAATTGTTTCAAAAGTTTTAACATTTTCACTAATTTGCAATCACAAAACTGAAAAGAGACACAAAACTTTTTGTGGATGAAAGCGCCAAAGTTCTTTTGTACAAACTCAAAGAAGATAGACATCTTCTTGCTGCAAAGATTCTATTCACAGAAGGAAAAGAAAGATTCGAAGAGAAGTTAGCAAAGTGCCTACTCGCAATCCAGCAAACGAGAAAGTATATCACTGCAGCTCGGTCTTTGTTCCGGCTCTGTCCAACAATCTGCAAACATCAGAACAAACATTCCATAACCCCAAACAAAGACTCAAGAACATAAAAAAAAAAACAGTTTGAGAAATGGCAAAGACCTGCAATAAGTTTCCCTAATGGCCCTTCAGGAATCTCAAGCCGAGCTCCCTCGTAACCAACAGCGTAAACAACCTGAGAAACATGCATAAACTCGTTATATATGTAGATAATAACGTCACCATGGAGTTTTTTTCTTGGTAAGTTATGTTACCCGTTCAGGCGGTACTCCTTCCCAAGGTCTGGTTAAAGTGCAGAGTTCCCACATGATTACACCTAAGCTGAAGATATCACACTTCTCCGAGAAGGGCTCATTGCGGATAAGTTCAGGAGCCATCCACTCTGGTGTGCCTGCAGAGACTGCATCTCTCATTGTCGTGCCTGTCATTATTCTCGATAGCCCAAAATCACAGATCTTGACTGCCAATTTGCTGCTCAAAAGACAGTTTGCGCTCTTAATATCACGGTGTACTATCCCCATCCGATGTATGCACATCATCCCCCTTGCAAAATTTTATAGAAATGAATAAATGAGACACAAAGACATTAGTTAGTTACAGTCTTTCCAGAAAGAATGGAGTTACCTGCAAATGTCACGCAGCATCTTTAGTTTCCTTCGCCAGCTTAACTTCTTCTTTTGTCCACTCAAATGCAGCAAATTATACAAAGACCCCATTTCCATGTACTCAGTGATCAGTGATAATCTTGGAGGCTTTGTGCATGCTCCAAGGAATAGTATAACTACAAGACGTTGAAGTTGAAGAAAGATCACTGTTAATGAAAACTGATACTAAAAAGCTTACAAGATGAAACTTTAACGAAATAGTTGAGTACCGTTGGGATGTCTAAGTCGGCTGGTAGTTAAGACAAGGCAGGAATGCAAGTCAGAAAAGTCTGAAGTTATTATTAAATGTGAAGAAAACAGACAAAAGTTTAAACACATACCTAAGAATCGATATCTCATTGCAGAAATCTTCCATGTTCTCAGCTGTTAGGTCTTGCTCAAGGAACACTTTGATTGCAACGTCTGTTCCATTCCAGACCCCTTGGAACACTTCTCCGAAAAATCCTGGAAGAAGAATCAAAAAGAAATATAAGATACATATAATACATAGTCTGTTCTTGAAGGAAATACATGGCCAACTTAATTCAAAAACAATGAGCTGAAAAATTCTTACCAATTCCAACACGAATCCCAACAGTCAACTCAGAGAAGTCTATGTTCCATTCTTCATATGGTAACAACGGCTTATTCTGGAACATGGGAGACCCCAATACTTGATCCCAAATGTGGCCTATATTACGATGTGATGATCCATTCCGTTCATAGGATTGGCCTCGGTAGTTCTTGGGTGAAGAAGGTAGTGAGATTGCCTTCTGTGGATCTAGTGATTCCCTAGAAAGGATCGACCTTCCTCCAGATACTTGGTCATGGGCATCAAGATGGAAACCAGAGACCTGAAAAGCAGAAATGTCTTAGTTAACCCAAAAAAAATCACAGATCATTATCCAAACTGAGTAGACGTTCCAAGAATCATAGTTTAGAGCATGTTGCAAGATGAAACAAACATACACTTGGAATAGATATTGAAGAGAAAAGAGGTATAAAATGATAATGCATCCGAAGTTTCTTTGATTTCAGTATCTTAACTTATATAATTACAAGCTATCATTGCTAAATTTCTTCAGTGATTGATGTATCAGTAAGCTACATTGTATTCAAATATTTACGTACACTTTTCTGGACATGAGGACCCTCGGTTCTGTCATTTGGAGAGCTAGGAGATGAACCATCATCACATTGCTCTTTTGAGAGGCGATTCTGCTTCAACGCTTCATTCATCGCTCGTACTGCCCTGAAAAAGATTAGAACCATTTTATCACTAAAATCACAAAACACTGAAGCTCCAGTTTCATAACAGTTAATGGTCTATAAATCTGAATGTAAATGCACTGAGGTAACGATCACAGCAATTGCTGAAACTTGCAGTTCCTTATATTGAATGATTTATAGCTAGTGCGGTAAGAGTATGTGATACCAACTAAGAAAAGGAATGCCTTCACTTTGCATTCTTCTAATATTTCCATAAGATAGTGTACGATTAGTTTTGCAAGAATTGGATCATGTATGAAATCACAACTGAGAATACGGAAAAAGTGAAACTGGATAACTGCAGCCTATATAGCTTTTGGATTTGTTAGACCAGTAACAATTGTTAATGAGGGAACTATATATGTAACCAGGATGCAGATATTTCAAAACAAAAACTATTTACTGGCTCTGCCATGCATATGATGGTCAATGAGCCATAACTAAACCACCCACCTGACGATATCATCACCAATCTCAGGAGTTATACTAATGCTTCTCCTCCTTATTCTCTTAGTCTCCAGTTTTGCTCCTCCAACAGATTTGGAGCTGCAAATGACAGGGCCAAATGAATACTGAATACTGTATATAAGCATTTCTTAACAAACTTAAGGCGCAAGAATTAAGTTCTCTGACACTATGTTATTAACACAGACTTGGTAAGCACTAAACCAGACTAACAAAGACCATCATCTCTTGCAGCAATAATTGTATATCTCTAAAACTGAAAGCCCAAATCAGATCTACAAGAACCTTTCCATCTAAGTTACCAAGGCGAAAAAACATAACCAACCTTGATGTGGCAACTTCACCAGTGAAATCTTGTGCCAAGTTCCTGTCGCCACTTAACATGGACCTTGTACGTGTTCGGAAGGAAAGATGCTCGGCGGGACTGCATACGTGATACAAATAAAGAATTTAAGAATGGAACTTTGAATGACGGAAAATCTAACACTATCAAACTAAGTTGGTTTCAGAATGCATAAACATATACAATTCAACAGAGATGAGAGTAACCTGGAACCAGCAATCCTCTGATCAGCAATGACCTTTCTCCGGTTCTGCCGCCAAAAATCATTAGCAAGGTTTGACTCGCTCTTTGAGAAACTGGAGAATAGAAGATACAAATATTGACGCATGGTCACTAATCCATTCCTCGGCTTAAATAGAACAGAAGGAATCTAC